GGGGGGGGGGGGGGTGTTGGGGGTGTGACACCCCCTAATCTTAAAAATAACCGATTTCGCAGGGCAATCGAAGATTTCGCAGGGCGCCAAGAAGAGCTTTATTGCCACGCAGAAACGCCACCTCTGAAGTTCTTAAAGAGCCGTTTACCAATTTTGAAACGAAATATTATATTTGTTATGAATCTCCCTTCCTGACATTGCATTTTAGAGAACGGAACAGGTATGTCAGGAAGAGCTCCGTTATTAGCAGAGAGAAAGTATGACCTTACCGAAAGTCATAGCCAATGGATGCATTGATTGATGCATAAGTTTATGAGGGCAAGGTTGAGTCCACACAAATTAAGTCAAGTTATAAATTATTTTCATGACAGGTACGGCACCACTGGGGGGAATAGAGGGCTGAAGGCCCCCACTTTGGTCAAGATAAGAATTTTTTATCATTTTTTCTATACCTTTTTAACAGTGCATGAAATAAAAAGTGAATAAACTGTTAAGATGCCGATTTTGTTTGATCCAATTGCTAACTTATTCACGCATATTTCTATTATTTTTATTTTATTTGCATTAATTCAGTAAATCACTTTCTGTATCATTGCAATGTTTTCATTTTGGAAATGTAAACATGGCCTTCTCGAGATAGAAAACTGCACATTTCTGTCCAGGAAATAAAATTCTCCCAATCAAAATAACATTGCTCTGTCATTCACAACTATGTGCAATCTTAAATGAAAGGTTACCGTTTCTTTCCTTCCACAACGTCTATCACTAGAGTTTTTGCATACCATCCCCCTCCCTATTTTTCCAATAAACAATAATCAGTTTTTTAGCAATATAGTATTTTGCTAAGCTTTAGCCTGGGAGATGCTTTTTAGCCCTTTTACAAGGTATAATTTCGAAATTTTCTTCTCGTCGGACCCAACCCGTGGGTCCTCCTACCTCGCTAAACTTGATATGCCATGAAATACAAGCTTTATTACAAAGGAAATTCAAATTGGACATTTAATTTACGCTCACGTAAAAAAATAGATATTTCATAGGCAATGAAGTTTCAAGTTTGTTTTTATTGCTTAGAAGTTTGTTTTTGGTAAAGACAAATTTACACTGGTAAAGCTTTCACTAGTAACCTATAGACAAACCTTTGCTACGAGGTCTGCAGGGCACCACTCATTTTGCAGGGCAGAAACCCTTTTCACCCCTCCAAACCTATTGGCCAAGTTACGCCCCTGGTTCTTTTTAACAAAAAGTGCATGGAATGTGTTCGGGTTCGCAATCATTCTATTTTGTTCGAGCCATGACAAAGCGCTGATTGATTCTCCAAGACCCTGACAAGATCTGGCCAAGATTTGGAAAAGACAGGAAAATGCTGCATTTATTCACATATGTTCAGACTTTCTGATTGCGTGCACTTGAGATGAGAGAGAATCGTTTATGCTAGACAAATCAGTGTTATCTTAAAGTGATTAAAAAAGCAAAATGAGCTTGTGTTTTCCTCAAAAACAACTAAGAGCAGGAAAAAAAATCAACCATCCATTTGCTTCCCAATCAGAATGGTTGTAACTAGACCAAATTATCTATGTGTATGGAGATGTTTAACATATTACGTAATCAGAGATGGGAGAGGGGGATGAACACAAAAGTTTACTGTCATTGTTATGGCCCATTGCCACTGCTTATTAACTGATAATTTAGGGGAAGTGTTTGAAAAAAAATTCAATTTTCATTACTTTTGATATGATATAAGGATAACAATTTCTAAACGCCCTGTGAGTATATGAAACTATGAAAAAATGTTGAAACCGGGAGTTTTGCACTAAAAATTTGTTTGACTAACTGGAGCCAAAAATCTTGACTAGTGACTAACTAGCAGTATCCCCCTTCTACATACATCCTCCATCTTGGCTTGGTCATTTTGAACACTTTACGAATCACTTGAATCACAGCACAAAGCAAAGCAGCGCATCTAGCAATATAATTTTTCTATTGTACTGGTTATCCTTGTAAAATTGCTTTATCTTTAATCATTTAGTGATATCTTGCTTATTTTGCAGTATTTTCTTACAGGCACATCGGCAAAGCTCCGAGAAAAATGCCGTAGAAAGGATGCCAGTAAACATTTCAACAAACTGCCATCTACTGTTCGACACGAAACAACTCTGCCTTCGTTCTGTAACAGCCTGCGGAAAGTGTTCTTTATGCAAGCTAACGGACGACTTGCCAATTAACCTTTTATTCTAATCCTTTAACTTCTCATTTTGACGTGTACATTCCATTTATTTTCAATTTTACTATTCTTTTAATAAAATTGTAAACATAGGGGACAGAACCTTTTTAGCCTGAGTTGAAGAGCCACACTTTAGTTGTGGATATGCTCATAAACGCCATGTTTCATGTATTTATGTATGTATTTATGTATGTACGGCTGTTTAAAGAAAGCCTCGGCTCTACATGGCAACTCCTCCAGAGATATGACAGTTAAGATGCAGACAAGTGAGCAGAGCAGATGCTTCAGTCGACATTGATATGATGGTGACTGAGTGCAGTGACCGGCAGTGAAAAAGATGTAATTTTGGAGATTATGCACACCTAGCAGATGGATTTCATCCGCAAAAGTGACAGCAGTATAGTTTTGCAAGAGAAAATTGCGAAGGAGAAAGAAGAACTGCTTGAAAATGTCAAGAGAGAGGTAAGATATCACCCGTTGCTTCTTGGTCGTTTTTAAGGATCCGATAACCATTAGCCTGGCCTAGGCCTATTTGGGCAAAGATTATATTGATGCTCATAATCTGCAGGTGTTACTAAGAGATTGAAACAGACTAAGCTAGGTCACTACAATTGTTCGCTTCATAATCATACCTCAACTCGATTAACCAATTAACAAAATCTTATTTTTACTGGTGTTTCCCTTGTCATAACCAGTCTTATGCTATGATAGCTATGCACCTCCCCCTAACTCGCAAGGGCATGTTTGTCATAAAAAATTATGTGATAATTTTAATTTTTAGCAAGGTTCCCCAGTCCAGTCGATATCAAGTAGCACTCTCAAGTAGAAAAACCAATGACTCGAAAAATTTATCAAAAGGCCTAGTCTAGTTGATAATAGAAGTATGCAAATTGACATGATTCTTGAGCCACGATGCTGGGCTGCAAAGTAGAATATTACTTTTGTTTATTGGCATCCTGAATTAGGTTTGGTAGAAATTCAGCGAGTTTATATTTATATCTTCAAGTACCAACATGAAATTTGTGGAAAGATATGAACTTATTTAAATTTTATTTCTACTGAAAATTGTGATTTTGCAGGTGGTTAGGTCTTTGCAATGTTTATCCTAATTATTACGTGAACGAAATGTTTCATGTGGAACTGATAGATCCAAATTGAATCTGGAGGTTGTATTTGCTGACCACATTAAGCATGCACAGTAAACATTTATATTTTGTGTGCTAAAAAGCCTATTTAGAGTAACAATTAGATTTTACTGAATTAGAAGGAAGCCACAACGAAAGTTTTCTGGTTTGAAAGTTATCTTAACAGGCTTGTGATATGCCAATAGTTTTCGATGTTTTTATTAAAGGCATTATGAAGTTTAAAAATAGCTGTGCTTTTTTAAAGAATTTGAGGTTTTACTTTCCACAAAGCTAGGCAAAATCTGTTTCTGTTTCATTGTCCAGTTATTTTGCATACTATTATTTCCCACTGGCCTGTAGACATCCTGTCATATTTTTCCATGCTATGTTGTTAACATCTTATAAGTTGTTTCATCATTCAGTCTACAGTTTCCCATATATTCATGCCTTCAGAAATCACACTGGATCCAAAGGTGTCCATTGTTTTAAAGGGTTATGCTTTTGTAATCTCATGGAGTCTTTGGCTGGGATTGGTGGCTTTTCACTCTGTAGATCCTAACATTAAGTTTACACATCATCAAAAGGAAGCATATGGAATCATCACAGAAAAAAGTTATCCTGTAAAATCCCTCCAAGTTTTCTGTCAACAGATATTTTTATAATAAGATAGATTTCGGGATTTTTTTTGTAGAATTACTTTGGAAACTTCTGATGAAGTATTCTGGCTAGGATGTTTTTTAGTTTTTTATTTCATCACATTTATTTGATTTTTTGAGGATTGAACTTTATGAAACTTACTTAAAAAATATCACATTTTGTTGTTTAAAAACAAATATAAAGATGGTTTAATTTTTGATTTGTTGAGAATTTTTTTTAATTTTGTGAACATTTTGGATAAAACAATCTAAATTATTGTTTGAAGACTTTTATAATATTATTTTTCGCATACTGTTGACATTTTTATGGCATGACTACAAATTTTCATTGTCACTATAAAATAAATTCATTTATTCATTCTATAGTCTCCTTCACAGTAGTACAAAAGAGAGTGTATAAGTGCATGAAAACTACATTAGTGCTCTGATTTGCCACTAACTGAGAGTTCCATTTTTTTTCACTCTTGTTGGTGCTTTTTATGTTTGAATTTCATTTTTCTTTGGGATGAGCAAACTGTTTTTGCCATCATTTAATTTAAGGTTTTCACTCGTAAACTTTACCAGAAGTTGTTGTCATAGAACCAGCCATAGTTAACATTGAAAAGTAGTCTGTCTTTTCTAAGCTCCTCTACTTTTAAATTGAGAAGGAAATTTTATTATTTCTCTGAAACATTAGACTAGAAAAGTTTCATTGATCAGACCATGCTCATTGCCTTCTGTTGCTACAGAATTCTGATCAAGACAACAAAATACCAGTCTAGTGAAAGAAAACACAAATGCCTATATTCACCAAAACAAAGCAAAATTTGAAGCACGTTTAGACTTAACTGATAAGTTCTTCGATCTGATTTTATTTTTCATAAGCTATATTATTATTCCTCATTTTAGCATTCCTCAACTTCTCCTTCAGACCTCCTCAGTGTCTTACACTTTTTCTTGAAATGCTTCTGAAGCAAGATTCTGGCCAATAGGTTGTGCAGATCATTTTTTCACCAAAGACAAGTCTACAGTCTAATGTAAAATCCCTTATGCAAGAGCTGTCACATATTTTTGGAACTTTTGACCATGTGCAATTCACATAATTACGCCGTCTGTTTCAAGTTTTTCATTTCAATCTAAGGATAAGCATAATTCTTCTGCAAAGTTGATTGCTTATCACTTTACTAGCAGTTGTTCACCTGTTTCAATGTAAGTTAAGAACATTAGCTACATTATTCCATTGCATAGGTCAGGCCACACTCTGCAGGTACTTGGCTGATCAAGCAGTGGAAACATCTGCCTTAAATTTACCTTTCCTTTGTTTCCAGCTAGCTCTCAGCATTCCAGATTTGAATGACTTTAGCCTTATGTTTGCATGTGTATTTGTTGTTTTTGTCTATTCTAAGACACTTGTTTTATTATTAAATCTTAATGATTTTTGGCAAACAGAGGTAAAATATATACTAAAATATAAACTATATGTCAATGTTAACTTATACTTTATTTTGATAAAGTAAATGTTAATATTCTTATTTAAAGGGAAGGTCCAAAAATGAATTATCATTTCTTTATACACTTTGATAAAATTCAAGAGTTTTTATGGATTATGATCACATTCAGTAAAAGATTCCTCTCCTTATTCAATTTCATTCTTAACGCTTTAAAATCTGTTGCCCCATGTCATCTTTTAGCTCTGTTTTCTATTTTTTGATTGAAATCACAATATATTGCATAATTTAGAATCCCGAATGCTTGTAATTGAAACCCACTCATTTATTTAGCTCCTATTACCTCCATGATGTTGATTATGTCGAAAGGCAAAATTGCCTGTTCATAGCTGCTAATATTTCTTGCCAAGCATTACAATTGACTTGTTTATTCTGATAGGCCAAAAGACTCATGGAAGAAGCAGTTACAAGAAGATTTGTGCATGCAGATAGCAGCTCAGTCTCTTCATTATGTGGTATGAAATTATAATTCAGTTATGTGCATCTTCCTCTATCTGAATTTTGGTTATCTGAACCTCGTATTTCAGAACATTGTTTTAGGCAAGCACAAAGCCAAGGGGACACGAGGGGCATTGCCCACCCAACTGGAATTTTGTGCCCCTCTGTACCCATTCAAAAATCCGATTTTGTCTAAAAATGTAGATTAATTATTTTAAAGTTAATTTTTAGATTTATTCTGTGAAATACATTATAGGAAACAAAACTTTTTTGAAAGTGCAAAGAAAAATAAGACTCTACAAAACATTAATTACATTTTAATTATTCTCTATTAAGTGCAAGATAATAAATCTTTATCCTTATTCTGTATCTATTGCAAAATATTAAGTTTTTGAAGGTTCTTCAATACCATTACCGAGTTCTTTAATACTGCTACTTAAGTTCTTCAATACTGTTACTCAAGTTCTTGCCACCAATTAACAAGCAACAAGCTCCTGCACTTCACTCAGTTGACAAGCTGATCATATAATTCTGAATATTGAAATAGAACACATAAAAGCAGCACTTACAAAAACTTATTTTACGATCACACCTAGAAAGCGTGAAGCACGCCCTTTTTGCCGGCAAAGAGCAATACAGCACCCAACCACCAACAGCAACAAATTTTGGCTTTGCCCCTGTTGCCCACCCACCTTTTCAGTGCTGGCTTTGTGCCAGGTTTTAGGTATAATGTTTTATATCTGAACATATTTTCATCGATACTAACACTAATGAAAGCACATCTCCTATGAAATTTGAGCCCTAAAATGAATATTGGTATCACAAAAGCATCTAAATTAGTTTGCCTTCTGATATCGCTATTAGCAAATCCATCTTACCAGAGAAAGCAAACCTCTGGCAAATTGATCAAATCTATCTGATGCCCTTTTTGAGCTGAGCATTACTGTAAGGTAGAATGATATTTCTGACTCTTTCTCATGTCCTCTGTGTGATTTCTCCTGACCAAATACTTACCATCAATCATCCAAACTTCTGGCTAATCTGAACAGCTCTTCTGATATTTCATTCCAAGCTGAACAGATAATTGAGGATGTAATGTAAGTAATCATCATTGCTAAAATGCTATGAGAATTGCAGCCTTAGTTTATAAACACCCTCATAAAGAGGGAGGAACATTTGCTTATTGTCTTTCAATAATAAATAAAAAGTAGTTGATCAACAGAGTATGTTCTCTGAGACTTAACTGAAAACTAACAACTATATTTCTTATCTCTTTCTCCCTCTCTTTCATGGTTGGCTTCAAGGATTGAAAATGTGATTTTAATTTATGACATCAAGATGTGACTTTAATTGGACTTTAAAAAATGTCATGTCAATTTTTTGCTATGTGCTTATATGCTTAGATTTTGTAGGATTTTTTCATATTTGTTTTGGGTGTTTTAAGAGCTTGCTTTGTAGCATTGCCATTTGGCCATTTGAAAGCCAAATTCCTGCCATTTTTTAAAGCCCCAAGGTCATCAGAAATTGATTTGGCAAAAGAAGCAAAAGTTGGCTTAATTCTGAACACGTTTAAAACCACAAAGAAACAAGGAAACAACAATTTTTGTACAGACAATATTTAATATTTTGTTAAAATAATCTCAAATTGAAAATGCCAATGCACGAAACAAAGTAAAGAGAACAAAAAATTGAAAATGAAAGCAAGTGACAGTTTTCTTAAAGTACAAAGCCAATTTTGATTACACTGTTTCTCCACAAAATTAGCCAAAATGTAGCTGTTTCTGTTTTTGTATATTTTTTGCTGGACGATTTTGCCTGTTAACTGTAAAATCTTTGACCATTAACTGGTAACCTTGCCACATAGTGGGTATTGCTAAGGCTATAAGCTATAAGTTTATAAAAGATGTTGATTCATCTAGGTATAAGTCTGCTTAACTCGCTTTGTTTTTGGTTCGGTTTCCAGAGTTTCTGGACTCTTAACTTTAGACCAAATCGCTTATATAAACTGAATGTCTTTGCACCAGACACACACAAAAGCCAGTTTACTTCTTTTGGTGAAATGATATGAAAGGTTAAATTTAAATTAGGTTGTTTTTGGTTAAACTTCAATAATTTCATGAATAGAAAGCATCCTGTTTGTGTTTATGACTTACTAGGGGCTAAGAGGTGAACTTAAAGTGAAGTTATCAAGAAATAGTAAGAGTTTGGTTATCCATTATCAACAATATATATCTTATTGAAAAAGTAGAGAGTCATTGCTCCATGCAGCCCCATTGGCACGGCCCCTACTTGCAAAAAATTGTTTTTTATTCCATTGTTCATTATGATTTTCAAGCATAATGCGAAATATTTTGAATTTTAGGTAGAGTGAGTAGCGTTTATGATGCCTGCCCTCGCTTGCTTTTTTCAATCAAAATTCTTTATTGCTTCTATAACAGTAGCACAGAATAGAAACTTCTGTGACAGTAGGCAATTATTTGAACAGTAGTAAATATTTATATCTAAATGAAATCCCCAATTACTTTTCAGCTGCTGTTGATGCCTGCCTAGGCCATCATCTCAAGAAAAGAGTTGGGGGCCTCCTGTCATCAAGCTCAACGGACTCACTCATCAGCAAATTCGCAAAGTATGACGAAGATGCGAGTGACATTGCCAAGCAATGCAGCGATGCACACGACAACATCAGCAGAATATCTACGACAGGTGCCTGCTATAATTAGTTGTGCAAAGAAGCACATTACAACTTCAAACATTAAGACTGCACTGGCTCCGTTGCTATTAATCTTAAAGGCTTGCTTGCAATCAGAATTTGCAGCAGACATCAGGATGTTTGAATTACAACTGAAATTTCCCATTCTCCATTTAAATCATAATGCTTTTCATAAAGGTTCTAGAGAAAATATTTTTGCTTAAAAATTTCCGTTAAGATTTAAAGGCTTTTTTCAGAGAAAATTGACTCTTCGAATGCGCCGATTTATTTATTCACTGCAATGTCAGAATAGTCAGAATTGGAGTTCAGTATCTATAGCATACGTGCAAAGCATATATATGAAACTTAAATTCTTATTACTGTTGTCCAACACTGTTGAAATCATGTTTTCAATTTCTATGATTTCTTTCAACCAAAGGGTCTATTTTTAATGAGCAAAATATGCTCTGGCAATATCTATTTAGACTAGTTCGCATTATGATAGCCGCTTTCTGTTCTTTTAAATGACCGTTTTCAATTTAGAAAGTATTGTTTCTTGAGTTCCGCAGCTGATTGCTTTTTAGATAACCAACAGCGAAAGAACATTGCCAAAGTCAATGGCTACAATGTGTCAGGGCATCATGGAAAGCATCTCTGGATAAGGCTTGCCCTTTTAGAACGCGTACTTTCTAAAATCATCGGAACACTTCTGGAACATTACGAGTAAGGAACATTACGTCTTATCGAATGCTAAAACCCACAACTTTGCTTTGTTATTAACACCGCTTGTGAAGTTTTGATACAATGAAATTAGTGAGATATTCATTGCAGTTGCAGCTGCAGCTAATTTTCCCGCGGCGGTTTGTCGTCTAAAGCGGCAGTGCATATTTCACCTTGATTTTATCGCCGTCTGTGATTCACAAATCATCCTTTGATGAGTCAACGCCGATGTGAAGTCAACAAATACAGTTTTCGTAATGCGAATGAGTAGCTATCCATTCCTGGTTTAATGATTAATAATTTTGCACTATTTTCCGTAGCAATTTAATGTGTTTATAGCAGGATTATTTGTTCTTTAAAAAGGCAGCTGCCCACACCATGTGTTCTGTTTTCCCTTCTCTCGTATAATAGCAACGTACCTGTAATTTCAGATTTATTAGTCTATGTTTTACGCTGTCTGCACCAGAGTTAGCTTTGCTTCAACAGCTTGACAAAACTTCTTTTGTTTTCACTGCCAGAGAGTTCTATGAAAGTGATGCATTTCTCGCTGATCAAGTGTTTGGACCTTCGCTCGTTTGGTTGTTAGGTAAGGCGGTTAACAGCTTTTCTGTCAGCTGACAAATTACAAATCACACGAATTCTTTTCAATTATCCCAGTTATCTGGCTTGGTATCCAGCTATTACTGATGATTTAAAATCTTCGCCTGCGATACGATCTCGCATCTTCATTTATCTTTAATTGTTTATCTTATTGCCTATTATTCTTGGTTTATGGCCTGATGCAGTCATGCAGTCTCATGCACGCACGAACAGTTCAACAATTTGTCAATTTATATCAAGAGGTTTTCAAGCAATACATCAGACCATTTGAAAATTACTGTTTTCAAGAGCATTTCGAAATTTCCCAAGAGGTTCATTGGTATCCCTTGCGCCCCCGAATACCAGAATTTATAAAGTGTTTTTCATTTCTTTGAACGGTTAGTGATAGTGATCTTTTGCTGTGGAATTTCAGCACTGCAATTCATTAAAACCATTCGTGAAAACCTAATTTTTACAGCGAAGTGACTTAACAAGCTAACATCTTATCTTGCATTTCTGTTTCAAGTAGACACTTAACTTCCTCAAGCCAAATATTTAAGAATAACAGGTAATGTTTGCAGTGTAGATATCTTGTAGAGTTGCAATATTTCTTATAGACGGCTATACTGGCTTTTCTTATAGACGAAATCTTTCCTTTTCATCTTTGTAGATGGCCCGTGCTCGTTGGATTATTCGAAGATGAAAACACCAGAGGCCACTTGGACTGATCCTCCAGCCGATGAACTTGTAATGCGCCACCGCATTTACGGTAGCACCCCAGCATCTTCGTCTCCACAGCTTAGCAAGCCGCAGCTATTTATGAGCCCCAGCAGTGAGGCGATTTCAAGTGCTCCGCAGCTGGCAAGAGAGCATGTTGGTTCTCTGCACCAGAATGCTCACTCCTCTTTGATGTTCGGCAAAAATAATGTTGTTATTGACATGGTATGATTTTCTAGTTTTTAGGCAGCTTCAGAATTTTTAACAATAGCTGCATTTTGCTAAATAAATCTTAAGTTGTTTCCGACAGTTTCGCACCTATCATTTATGAACAAAACTACTTAGAGTTTTTTTATGTTCTCAATATACCCGAAAGTGGAAATAAATTCTTAATTGGATTTTTCTGAAAAAGACTGTTCATTGAATCCCAAAGTGACCTCTTGAAGTAAGACAGAATACTGCAATGTCATCCTCATATCGTATTTGCAAGAAAAACCGTAATGAAATCGCCTTTTATTATGAACAAAGCATAATTCATTGCAGCCAGAATTTGAGAAACCTGTTGCTGGCTACCTGTCTATTCACAAATGCCCAGAATCGCTGCTTTTGAAATGGACACCAAACCTGATGATGAGTGGTGCCTCGGAGACAGAAAAGAGCTTGTACTGGAACAGGGTGCTGACAGTTGACATGTCTGACATTGTCTTTCTACACTGTCACCAGAGTGGTATGAGAATGCCTTTAACGATGCTTGTGATTACTCTCATTGTGCATAGCAGTGTGTTGAGCTATTGCTAACCGCTCAGACATTCTATTTCCTAGTCTTTAAAGCAAATTATTTCCTTATCTTTAAAGCAAATTAGATGCATTCAGTTTCTTCAAAAACCATTTCATAGGTAACTCAGAACTAATTAAGATAATTAATCGGTCTTCCATAAAATATTTGCTCGGCTTTCAGTATTTTGCCCTGTTTTGGAAATAATAAATTCAAAAACTGATGAAAGTAAGTTCTATTTAATTAAAGTCTTCTGCTGAATCGCGATCTTTGCTGGTGTATTTTGTAAATATCTTCATAAAAGCAGACCATCCCAGACCGTCGTGTCTTTTGGCTTCAAGTACAGCAGCTTTTCACTTCCTAAAATGCTAGTAACTTGGCAGATTAAAGTGTATTGGTTAGCATTTTGCAAATTAGCTTCAGTAAGAATAGTTTAATGGTGTCCTGACCTGATATTTCTTATGAACCGAACCAAAATAAAATTTATCTGTTGTATTAAAGTGCAGCTATAGTTGATGCTGCGAGATTTGGATGCATTGAAAATTATAGCGCAGAATTTTCTGTACATCGTGGTTGGAAGATTCGGCTGAAAATTTCTTTTTCTTTTCCAGGTGATGGGACGAATGGAACTGTTGTTTTGATAGGCCAAGATGGGCTACAGCTTCCCCCTTTTTCATTCCCATCCGGCTCGCTGCTAGCATTTTTAACCTGCCTCGAACAAGGTTTGTCTCCTTCGGGGCGTTTCGACCCTCCACTCAATTTGGCGAGCATCAACTCTGCGCAAGGTCCGCAGTACAAAAGAAATTTGTTGACTGAGAAAATAGCAAAACTTGGCGAGGAAGTAAATGGAAACGTGTCACAGGATTTCGTATTTAGACTGATTAACGGAATGAAGACAAGTGCAGTAGGTAAGGGGTAGTAGAGACTGAAAAGTAGAAGCTTTAGCATTACATTTGCCAATCTCGTACTGCTCTCATATTTTTAAGGTTATGTATGGGTGGTTTATTAAACAAGTTGATCATCGTGGGTGGGTAGTTGAGTTATTCATTTTACTTAACAAGCCCCCATTAATTTGCTTGTGGTGGTGGTGATGTAAGAGGTGTTTGATGAAAACAAAAGGTAGAGCATGCGGCAAAGAATAATGCACTCTTACGTTATCATGTATAATAAATTAGCTCTTGATTATTGTAAATTATATTGATATACTTGACAGTCACAAAAACCCCAAACAGAAGTATGCCTTCCTTGTCTGGGACTTATATTTTGAAGGATAAATCTATTCATCCATACGTACACTACAGATATGTGTTTTGTTAGGAAAACCACCGGCACAAGCTTTAATTGCTCTTATTTTGCAAGGAAGGTAGTCATTTACACTCATATACCCGTCAAGAATGTTATACTCACTCTCTCTCTCTCTCTCTCTCTCTCTCTCTCTCTTTCGAACATTGTCAATATTCTCCTTAAATCCTTCAACTTATAGACAAGAAACAACTGCAAAAGCTGTTATCGAATGCTACTCCAAGCAAAATTCTGCCAATCTGGAAGGAAAAGGAAGAAAAGAGAAAAAACCTACTGCCGAAAATGCATAATGTGAAATTGCAGCGTAGCGGTGGAATACCAGCGAGGTATGAAATGCCAAGCTTTGCAGCATCGTATTACCTGTATGCTAATTGTTTTACCATTTTTAGTGCCTTCCTGCCTGTGTGCTAGCAACGATTGGCTGCTTTAATTGTATCTTCACCATCAGCTCTGCTAATGAGGAATGAATATCACACCAAGTCGTGTAGAATGTTAAGAAATATAGGATAAACATTATATTTTTGTTATGTGTAAAATGCTAGACTTTCGGTATAACATTGTGGATATTGCAACGCTATTGATTTTATGGGGCTAAATAGCCAGCGATAATGACCTCCTTGTTTACACAAGAGAAGGTTAAAGAAGAATAAATTTGGACCGAAGTCGTTCTAATATGCTCTATTTCTGGGGTTAAACTAAGTTAGGTTGAATGAATTAGGCCAAGAACCCTTAAAGGATTATATTGGAATAATAAATTGAATTTTATGCTTTACACAACTTGAGCTTAGCTCAAAGAATACGTAAAGATCTACTATAGAAATGAGACACAAATGGGCAGGCACCGAAGGAGAGAACATGTGCTGTAATACTTAATTTGTTTTTCATTTATTCCTGTAGGGTGTCAGTCCAGTTGGCATATGACAAAATGAAACATCAGATATTGTCAAGGGCGTTTTACGGATGTAAGTATTGTGAACCAGATACTTTTTTTTTTCTTCGCCCATCTTACTTGGATCTTTAGCAGTCTAGTTTCTCTTTCATAAATCGAATAATTACATTTTGTACATAATCAAAAGTGACAATTTTATAGCATGTCAACTTTTATTTCCTCCTTTCAATTTCATGATCGAAAGACTTTCATGATTTCTAAATTTTTCTAAGGGATTATTTTGTGCTAACCATTTCAAACAGTACTTTTTGCTTTTGTTTTTGTCCCATTTTGCTGAATTCCCAACCATTGACACTTTTCTATAGTGTCTTGAAATATTGTTTTTAATTCCTTTGTGATTACTGGGCTTAAATACTGTGATTCCTTTATGACCTGCCTTGGCCTGAAATTTTGCTTGGTTGTTAACTGAAATCAGTCGATGTACAAAACAACTAGAATCTTGAAAGTTGCTTTGATTTTAGTTTGCTTGCATTGCATCCTTTGTTATCCGTATTCCTTCTAGTTTTACCGAAATTTTTCAAAAAACAGATTAATTTCGGGAAATTTTCCTCTTTCTACATTGAAAATCTCATATCCGAATTCTTGACGCAAAAGTTAAAGGCCTTTTGTCAGCTCATCTTTCCAACGTGGTGAGCATTAGTGAATTTATGAGTCAAAACAAATGATCAACACAGTTGTTCTGCAGCTGGTGAATTGTTTCTGAGCAAGGCTAGAATCCATCTTTCAATGTTTTTGAGATCATTTGCAGGATTCTGCGCTCTTTTGGTGTTTTTAAGCCTTCTCATTTCATGCGACCGTCAGCCTCACCCTTGGCAATCATTCATCTCTCACCTGTTTTTAACACAGTTTCTAGTGAAATGTCGGAACCTAAGAACAAGGTTCCCAGAAAATGTTGGGAATTGGCAGAAAATTTCCCACCATATTAACAATAATCAGAGCAGCAAATTCTAAAATTCATTCATTCATTCATTCATTCATTCATTCATTCATTCATTTCATTCATTCATTCATTCATTCATTCATTCATTCATTCATTCATTCATTCATTCATTCCATTCATTTCTTAGTTTGTTTTAAAGAAGGTAATGAGCTGAAAACATATATTATGGTTGACTGAAGTACAGATAAAGGGGAAAACGATTGATGTTGAAATCTACTTAGTTATCCACATCTAAAAGAAGGGATTATGAGATAATCTATTTGCTAAAAGCCTGGACGTAAACATTTTTCGACAAATACGTTTAATGGTTGCTAAATTAGGGTCCTTTGAAAAGATCCAGGATACTTGAAAATGAAAATAAAAAGTTGGCAGATGTTACATGCAGGTATAATTATCAGATACCCATAGACACATTTACCAAACTTTATTACCAAGAAAGTGATTTAAGTTAACTCACAGTTAAAGCAAAAATTATATTCGGTTTTGGGTTATTACAGCAAGAGATGAAATTTTCTTGAAATAACAACAACTTGAAGATTCAAATCCAAGCTATATTGAGATTTCCTAATAAGGACATTTCGCCAAATTTTTGTCGAGCGTTTTGATACAATACTGTCATACATTAGAATTTTTTTAATTGGAAGGCTGCTAGAAAGTAAAATAATTTTGTGGCCATGTGGCATGGTATTTATTTTGAAAAAAATGAAGTGTGTCCTTTAGCTTTTCAAAAATGGATTTAAGGCCACGCCGATTGTTTTTGTATTCTTGACAGACAGTTATTATTAATGTAACACTCAGAGTCCATGAATGCCACGATAATGTATCTAGCCATGGAACATAAAGAGGAAGTCAGATAAAAGGTTGCCCCCGATTGGTTGTATTTCGACCAATCAATGCCCTAACAAAACCCTAACAAAACCCATGGTTGGAAAACACTGTTATCGTACATAGAATATTTAGCTCGACAAAAATAGCCGCATCTATTTTGTTATATCGAGGGTAATTTCTAGTTCCTGCTTTAATTCAGGAGGTGGTAGCTGTAATTGGGGAATAGTGTTTACTCAAGCATTGGTCCAAGTGTCCCCCCTCCCTAATCAGATATCCCTTTCTTCAAGCTCTGCTGCCTAGGTACTGAAACATATTACTCGCCAATGCGATTCTTGCGCTCCCCTTCCCCCATCATTAGATTTTCTTCTTTTTGAACCTAGGGATAGCACACTGCCGTTACTTGAAAACTGTTCGAACCCATTTGGCATCGTTAATCTTACCAATCGGATTTACAGAAAAATTGCCTGCTGATGTCGAAAGTGGTGTCACTGAAAAAGTGTTTGACAGACTCTGTGCTAAAGGACAGGTCTGTGAATTGTTTTGCTCAGTTCGATTTTTCAGCCGTTGTTAATTAAGATACAGGTTTACTGTTGTTTTAAATTCTTTAAAACCCCGGTTAAATGATCCAACATTTCACCCAACATTTCGCCCAACCACCCAACATGGTGTTATTAAATATTAAAATTAGTTATTAAAGTTTAAGTTATTAAAATTGGGAATTAGCAAATTGCATTGAAATTTAAAGAAACCTTGACGTCCTTGACGAAGAGTGTGTTAAATCAATTTTATTCGGCTGCTTTGATAGTCTTGGTTGTCGCACCCATGTGATTAGATTCTGTAGTTAGTTCCGTTGAATATCATCAAATGCTGGACGATTTTGTATAATCAATAAAATATTGGAACTACGCTGTTATTCCCTTGCACTTTGTAGAAAAACTGAAATACCAATCCGATGTTTCTATAACGCCAAATCCGAAAATCTTCTCCCTCCCCCAATCTTGCTTGGCCCTTATGAGTTGATATTGAAGGGTTTTCTCTATTATTGGCAGTCTTTTATCCACTGGTAATTGAAACAGTATTTCCTCATTTTTCATAGATTGACGATATGATGTTGATGATGCAGTACATTTATTATGGTGGTGTCCATCCATCAATACGATACAAGGTAAGAAGCTCAAATCTTGTTTAAGCTTACTAATTAATAAGGCTACGAAGATGATTCCGATATGAATTCGGTTATCTCTGTTATCAACCGTTTTAAATTTTTTATTCGTGCCATTTTCTTTCATTTAGGTGCAATTTACAGCAATATATTTCCACTTGTCTTTTTCAGTAAGACCATTTACATTGAAATATTAAGAAAAGACTTTTCGGTTACACAATAATCAAATATAGACTTTTTAGAAATTTTATTCTGCCTACTACAGAAAACATATTTTAAGGTATTTTCTTTGTAGCTGATACTATTGTTTTTTACTATGATCTCTTTTTTTCAACCAAACACACTCCCCCTCCCCCCCCACCCTATTACTAGAATTAGTTATCTTTGCAATAGAGAGGTTTAGCATGTAGCTTCTATTTTGTGAAATATTTATAGTCCTCTAAAAATTACTGGCCCAACGTACAAGAACAAAGCATATGATTGTCATATGTTGTCGTATGTTGTCAGATGTTGTCATATGTTGTCATATGTTGTCATATGTTGTCATATGTTATCAGATGTTGTTAGATGTATTGGTCCACGAATGATCTTCCTTTCTCATGTTTAAGGTCTGGCCATACCTACTGGGACACGTTTTATTTGGATCAACTGCAGAAGATTTGATGCAAGCAGAAATACACTTACGTGAAGATTATAACAAAATTGTTAAAGAATGCAAAAAACTCGAGAAATATCTGAGACTAAAGGAGAAAGATTTGCTAAGTATGTCAGGTTTCGGAGATGTCGAGTTACGGACGAGTGATTCTGTTGATGGTGAATCGAGGGAAAGTTCTATTTTGCAAACGAAAATGAATTCAGAAGGATCACAAAGCGATACCCAGTCTGACAGCCTGGTTATTGATGGTTGCAGGGACGAAAGCTTTGGAAGCAGTAACGAAAGCACAACCAATCTTCACCAAGGAAATCCGGAATGGAATAAGAACTCCCTCATATCCAGCTTAATGGAAACAAAAGACAGTTTACGGGAAATGGTCGATAGTGCGAGTAAACGAGGTGCCGAAGCATGGAGAAACCTTGTTAAGAAATCAAAGAAAAAGCAACTTCGCCGTCGAACTGAAAGCGAACCAACGTCGAAACGTCTAGAACAGTTATCATCGACTAGTTTTGACTTAGAAATTGCGTGTAACACTTGCGGAAAGAAGATAATCGAAAGCAAACAGCGTGTACTTGACGGAAAATTAAATGACAGTAGTATGGACAATATTGAATGCTTAACATGTTTACAGAATCGGGAGACAAATGGTGATGATCCCGAGCTTTGGAATATAGGGTACCCGGAGCCTCTGAAGACGAGATCCCGGTCTGTCTCGAGCACCAATCCGGAGACTGGTGAGCGATATGACGACACGAAGAAAGATTCGGTAGATGCGCCGAAGTTTTTTATCGTCAATGGAGAAGACCTTGACAATCGAAAGTCATCTGCTTCTGCACTGGAAGCTGCATACGGGGTGAGTGCTGTTACTTCTTTGTCTAGTTCTTTCCTTTTTACTTTCACATAGGAAGCAGATACATTGACTTTCCTAAACTAGGTTGGTATATTCTCTTATTTTGTGCTGTTATAATTTTCCCTTTGTTACTCTCACATTTTTTCTTCGCTTCCTATGTGATTTTCATTTTTTTGACCAGACCACTTTTTTCCATCCACCCTCAATGGAACAACTATTTCTTAAGTTTAAAAGGTTGTTTCAACAGACATAAAATATGCTTCAAGTAGGTCGAAGATTATTCCAGGATTTTCTCAAGGCTTTTTATTGTTTGACTACTCAAGAAATTTGTCAGGAAATTCCCCATTGTCCAAGCCTGATTTCTTCTACGCGCTCCACGTTGCCATAGTAGGTTTACAACTGCATTAGCCATGCAATCGGCCTTGCTCCAGTACAATGAAACAGTAATAAACTTATTCTTTTATAACAAACTCTTTATTAGAAACTCCAAAGGGTGTCTTTTGAATATTATCCAAAGAGGATCGGATATTATAAATAGTCCAAGAAACTTAGCAGTTATGATACGCAACGAAGGAGCAAGCTAGCTACAGGTGGTGTTTAGTTTTTATCGTCAGATGACAGCGCATATTTTTGTTGCCGCTGACCAAGACTTCCCAGAGGCCATTCATGTGCGCACTAAATAACGGTGCGTTCCTTTTGGTCCTTAGATATTCTTACTCTTCCATTTTTGACGAACCTCACCAATCTGCACTGGGTCAGTCTTTGATTTTGATATCTTTGCAAATAATTTCTTTGCCACCTGCCTGCTGGTCTCGAAAATCAAAATTTTCTCTTCTAGGAGGACGTATTGAGAGAGTTTGCCTTGAATATTCACCGCATTGATAAAGATGTTTTGAGATGCGATCGAAACCATCCTTACTTTGCTTCGGATAATCTTAGCAAATTGCGAAATGTTGTTATGAGGTTTGCATTTGCCTGCTAACTTTTAGCACTTTAATCTCTTTGTATGTTCTCTCTTTTGATAAAAACAGCTCTCGAGCCTATTTGCATTTTAATCTTGTTGATGAGATTAAGTTTCAATAATAATTTTTCTCTATAACTAGGTTTTGAGAATTATCTTGGCAAATTATTAGAAAATAGCATTTGTAAGGGATTTTGCTCATCTAGCTTCACTGAATGAAATCAGCAATAAATTGTTCTGCCCGGAATGTTCTAAACATGAAAATGCTTTTTTAATGGTTTTTAAAAAAATAGTAACCCATTCGTTTTCTGATTTTGCCGTGGTTTCTTTTTTTAGTTACGTATGGGAAAGGCTTGAAGTTGGCTATGTTCAGGGAATGTGTGACCTTTGTGCGCCGTTTCTGATTATATTTGATGACGGTAAACCTTTACGATAAATACTATATTTACTAGCTTTATCGTATCATCTAGGTGCAATGCAACGTAATATATCATATAGATAGCGGATCATCATGACGTCACGAGGAACATGATTAATATGTTATCATATAGATAATGCTGTATTTTATTATAGTATGTTGTAGTGAATTTTATCATTTCAATGTTGAATTCTTTTATATATCGGTATGTAGGCGAATTATGTTGAAAACCAACGATTCGCCATTGCTTTTAACTCGGTTCTTCTTTCCAGAGGCGAAAGCCTATGGCTGCTTCGTAAGGCTAATGGAAAGAATGGAGCCAAATTTTCCTCATGGTACCGCAATGGATTCACACCTTGCCAACATCCAATCAATTCTCCAGGTAATTGCCTTTTTAATCATATATATTTGATCTGTCTAAACCTCGTCTGCCAGCAATCCATTAGTTCATTGTTTTCTTGGTGATTTGAAACTTAATCTTTAAGACTTAAAGACTGATGACTAAAATGATTAAGATTTCTCAATAATTCAAAACATTATGCAATGGACAATAGTTTGTCATGACGTAATATTTCACAGACCCACACAGGTCACCATTGCTGACAGGCTGTTAGATAAAGCGTTGAAAGTACAATTAGAAAAACAACCGAGGACCTCAAAGAGAGGATGAAATGCAATGAAAGGGGAAGATATAGTAAATGAGGGGCAAATGAGGAAAAGAATGGAGCAAAAGGAAGGGATTATAGCTTAAATAGATTAAAGAAAACCGAATTAAAGATTACTGCAAATTTATTCAACCGATTCAAGTAATCGCAGACCGGAAGATTTATTCTTATGAGCAAGAAAAAAATTTATTCTAGCTTCATTCAAGACTAGGTCTTTTATATATAACATTAAAAGCGAAATAAATTTCTTTGGTTTTTTCACCATAGATTTTAGATCCTGAACTTTACGAAGTGCTCTACCGTGATGAAGACAGTTCGATATTTTATTTCTGCTACAGATGGCTTTTGTTAGATTTTAAAAGAGGTTTGTACTAGTTTTCTGCGTGCGCCCAAGAAACTCGCTTAGATAGGGAAACGTTTTGGTAAGGGGATTTAGAAAAATATTATTGGAGATTACAGTTCAGTTTTGTTTGAAAATGGATACTTTCTCACACATCCAATGACATATTTTTGTATTTGTTGCTACCTAGCTTCTGAAGGTAGTTTATAAGACCTTGAAAAGCTTTGCTTATAAACCAGTGTCCTGGTCCTTCCTCTCGATACGACCACACCTCGTGATTCCTATGCCTGGAATTACTGCCGAATCTCCTCATTCTGGGTGAAAGTTTGGTCATGCCAGGGACTCGAACCACGGACCTTTGGGGCTGTAGTCAGTGCCTCATAACACCATATTACATATTACTTTCTGTATAACCCTTCAATCTATTTTTATTGTCAATTAACTACTTCCAGAGCAATTACAGCGAATGCTTTTTACATGAATTTGTCCTTCGTGTTTGCCATTTCTGTAAGGAACCGAGGTTAATACCCAATTATGCTGATTATAACGTAGGCCATATTCCTCTCTCGTAGAAGTCCAATATAGCGACGTTTTCATGATCTGGGAAACAATATGGGCTGCAACCTATGTTTCTGCGCCAAATTTTAGCTTATTCGTAGCTGTTGCATTAATTGTTTTATACAGGTATTTATAACTTCCCTTTTTGTAATCTGAGAGCTAAATCTTACATGACGTGTCAATTAATATCAATTTTCGGTAATATTTCACACCTTATTCCATAGTTCTCTTGTATGTTTATATACTGCACAATATTAAGGTGCATGTGATAAAGACTCTTCTTTCGAAACTAACAGGCCACGGTGCAAATTATCCTGCATTTTAACGACCCTGTTTCTTTCTTGTATGGCTTTATTGCACACATAGTCTATATTTGTGTGATTACGTAGATACCAACATAAGCAAAAGAGTTGATTTGCCTCCAGACTTCATTTTTACATCAGATTTACCAATGATGGGTGAAAGGAGATCTGTTGAACTACACTGCTTTCATTTCAACACTTTTAGCAGTGATTTTCGACTCTGAAATCAAATATAGATATTCGAGTCTTAAAACATTCGAGATTTACATTCTAAGGACACTTGTCCGAAAAGTGGGAAATAATATTACAGTAGATTATTTCTTACGAAAATTTTTTTATTCAATATTTAATATTTTGGGTTTTTTTCAATAATATTTTTCTTTTATTACAGAGAAATTATTATCGACAACAGCATGGACTTGACCGACATAATCAAATTTTTTAACGGTTTGTTTATAAAACTTTTTTATATTTGTCACTATGGTCTTATTTGTTAAATGACAGCTCGACGAACGGTTTTGATTATCATTGATGTTCGTACTGTCCTTCGTTGTAAACAAGTTTGGCATTTTCACCATAGCAATTAGTAAACTATTTACAATTACCTTAATTATATTGCACTCATGAACTATGCACAATTTCATGAATAGTATTGCTTGAAATTCTGGGAAGAGGTCATTATTGGTTTTTAAAAGTTCCGATATAACCGTATTTCAATATTCAAAAAACTAGATCAAATATCTACATATCGCAAGAATGGTCAACTGCCATGTCCAGTGCGCGTTTACATCAACAGCAATTTCCGTAAAAAAATATTTGGCTATAAAAATTCAAATTGATTCTAAATAGCCATACCCTTTAATTTCAAGTCGAGATCACATGTAAGATATCACCAAAAGAAAATCCCTAGGATTGACAAGCCAAAATGAAATTATAGTTAACATCTTAGTATTTATTTTAGAAATGGCGGAGCGACATGATGCGAAGGCTGTACTCAATCTGGCGAGAAACATCGTCCACAAATTGCAGGAGGTTATGCATCCTATTGACTATAATTAACAGTATCCACAGAATTGCATTGGATATTTTGCTGGGGTTGGTTTCTCATTTGACGAACAAGAGTTTTCAAATAAGATGGTGAAACTTTGAGAGATTCCCGTTTCCGGTCAACAATGTAAGAAAGGCTGGGATGATTTTATTGCTTTTGGCAGCTTTTTGGATTTTTTTTGCAGCAAATAGTTTAGGGGACCATCCATATCACACGCATATCGTGCCATGAAGAATTCGATTTTTATTCCACAAGATTATAATATTGCTGTTTTATCGTGTACAGGGAAGGAAGGCAATGTTGAGCATTTTAAGGTCATTGTGGAACTAGAATTGGGGAAATCAGATAAGGTACAATATTGATAATCGTTTGTTTAATATTTTCAAGTATATTTCTTTCCAAAAAAAGAATGAATTATCACTGAACGCTTAATGCAAAAAGACTGCTTTTTTAATACTTTAGCGAGAAACATTTTTTTAATGGCAGATTATTGCTATATGGTAGAATTTTGGATTATGTTTTTCGAAAATGCTTCAATCTTTAAGGCATTTATATTTATGCATTATAACCCAGGGGTTGTCGAACTTAAGCAATCTATAAATTCCAACCCTTGCACCAAGTCAAACACGCTTTCGAAAAGCCAGGACTTGATGAGCGAAGATTGTACAATGTATTGCAAACGTGAATATGTACATCTGAAGAAGAAAGGCTGTCTGCATTGAGAATCACTTGACAGGCGGGACAGAAATCCCTACCGAGTCATCCCCCCTCCTTGCAGTGAGCTGACGCCTGTTTCAGCCCATTGAATGGGCTGTTTGATTGAATTGACGGGGGTTGATTACCCAGTCTCTGGGTGACAGGTAGTTGTTCCTCTCCTCTGCAATATTTTGATGACTGATAGCAGTCCAGGATTTGTAGGTTCTGCGTAGCAGCCTTACCTCTACGTAGCAGCTTTTCTAAAGAATAATCAATCTTTATAATTTATTTGTTAAGGTAATGGAATTTCTGTCGTCATTTGCTTCGAATTTTAACTTCTTATAATAAGACTAGTGACACTAATTATCGTGAGGTTATTAGCATAATTATTTATAATATCATTGGCATTTATTTGATAGACTTAGCCAGGTAAAAAGTCAAAGACTGCAAGCTTCTTTGAATTATTCGTTAAATTATAATTTCTGCAACTGTCAAATTTAGCTTATGTAAAATAGTTTTTTGAACATTTCTTTCCCAGCTATACGCGTAAGTCAGAAATGCGCTTTTTCTTTGAATTAAGATTTAGTTTTGTATAACTTAATACTTAATGTTAAAAACGCCTAAATGTATACATTTTGTTGTCCATATCCGCAGTTAATTTAGCAATCTATTCAATTATGTTACGTCAACACTGTATCAAATAGAAGTCAATTTTTAAGCATGGCTCGGGCATTCTAAAGAGCTGTCATTTCTCTCAAGAAGCAAGGCTATTAAGATCCACAAATGCTGTTTTTTAAAACTCGAACATCCAACTGCTATCAAGACCAGATGTCGGCAGAAATGGGTCTTCTGCTGAGAGTCTTGTATGAAGTCATCTTCAGCTTGTTGGTGTAAGTTCTTGCAACCGTCTTTCGTTTTGCAGATTCGTTGTGGGATTTATTAGATAGAGCAGAGACGGGTTCCAAAATAATAAAGGTTTCATTTATTACTTGTATGCAATTTTTATGAGTGCCCGAACCATGATTGATAGGAGGCTGGTAGCAGTTTAGTTGTATATTTTTAGGAAATGGTGTTGGTGTAACGCAGTTCAGTGGTTTTGTAACGCCAGAGTTCCCGTTATAATAATGGGCAAAACGATAAATAATGTGCTTCTACACTTTTCTCTAGTAAAACGTGCAAGTCTGTCATGGGTGCCCTACTTGCCCCCGCACTAATAAGCTACGGTTTGCCTCTCTCCCCCCCCCCAACTATTAGCTACAGTTCTTTGCTCGGTCCATCAGAATTCAAGTTGCGAGAGATGATACCTCCCTTTGTTCTTTGAAAATGCTGCATCCCATATTCCAATAAGCACGGCAGGCTCAGTTCAAAACTTTGTTAGTTTTGAAAACTAATAATGCTCTGTGAGTATCTGCATTTTCTCTTAGTTCAAGCTAACGCTTGATTTCCCACATCTATAAGGTTCCCGTAATGTTCGGTACAATTTTCTCTTGATGCACAATTTTAGTCTAGTGCTACTTTAGTAATCGATCATTTTCACAAAGTATTTGCTAACAGATTGCCATATTATAATTATTGATTGAGGATAGTGGTGATGATTGTGACAAAATACATAACTGTCAGGCTGTGGTCATTCATAGCCCTGCAACGATCAGTTCATCAACATCTCATTATAGCAGCCTATATTGATGGTCGACAATGACGCCCTTTCCATTAGTCTTTCCCAATTCATTATCCGTAATATCTGATCTTGAAGCTTCGATTTGTATACGCTCCCCGGAACCTTTGGCGTTGCACATCCACTGACTTTGTTATGAACGTATCCCGCTTAGACAAAAGCATTGGTAATTACGCCCTTCTTAATCGTCTACGTTGAATGTACATCTACAAATCAAATCTTATTAACCAAGAACGCATTCAGATAACGCAATAATGATAATTGCTACTCACATCTTCGCCTCTTTTATTCCCCATGTCTCCTTGGCACCTTAGAAGCAGACCATGTTGTCAATTTTCTAGTAAGTACTTAAAGCGAAACAGATTGATTGCCAATCAAGTCTACGTCAGCCCTGTAGTCATATTATGGCCCATCTACGTCATATTATGGCCCATCCGTAATACTCCTCAGTTAAGTTATCAGATTTTAACACAAAGACAAACGAGGGTACAATAGTGCTCTTATCACATCAATCAGCTGACTTTCCTTGAAACTCCTCTCAATATAAGATTCTGCACTTACGATCATAAGTGCTCATCGTGATGGTACAACACATAGATGCTTTCACCCTCCAGGCAACACTATTTGTATTAATTTTAGAGGTTGAGCGTCATCCAAAAGATTCCTAATAGATTTTAAATTAAAACTACATTTCAGTCTTTAATTGTTTTAGGGGTAGGGGTCTGCGGTGTAAGAGGACGTTTAAAAGACTTTAGGCAGTGATTCTTCCCTGTAGCAGTGCCAGCCTCTATGTTCTTGAAGACAAGACAACAATCTTTAGGCCAAGCGCTTTTTAACGCCAGAAAACGCCCTTTCAACGCCAATTTATCTGAAAGAAACGTCTATGATTAACTTCTGGATACGTAGGTGTCCTCTCCCCAGTTCCCCTGTGGCGCCGCTATTGATCCTTTCTCTTGAAGAAACCGATTGGTCACTTATCAAAGATATTCTTAAGTAGCAATGTTTTAGTCCTATTCTAGAATTTCGGACACTGACAAAACTTTATTTCTTATAACTTTCATCAGGCCAGGTTTACGCAAAAGCCTTATTATTCTCCTTCACGACGCTTTGATTGCAAACCTCAAATAAGATTTTTTTCGATTTCCATTCCTAGTTGTTCCGCTGCTTTAACCCTTTTGCCTTCTTCGCAATGGAATATTCTATCAATTTGAGAATATTCATAGAAATAGGACTGTTTCCTGGCCATTGTGATTAATTTATCCACCTATTGTTTGCACCTGTAACTGTTATGTCATGTGATCTCAAGTACACCACTATAAGATATGGAAAGTCATTTGCAAACAAAGGAGGCCCAAGGCAGGATCCCTGTGATATTCCACTCTTATGGTCGATGTTAATCGCACCTCTGCAAAACATAAGATAGATAATCAAACTTAACAAGATATTTTGAAGGATGATAGAAAAAGGCCTAGTGGACTAGAAAAAGTTAAAATTCGAAATCATTGTTTCCCGTGTAACATATGCGCCGTATTTCAGTTGAATTTTTCTGATAGGTTGACTGTCAATGCCTTTTGTATTTTGCTTCGAGTACCCAAAGACTGATCATGAAAAGTTTTACCAATATCTTGAGATAGGACAGATCATGATTGGCTGGTAGCTATTTACAAAAAACACCAGCTCTTATCAAACTGAGTACTACATGTCCGTTTCACGAGCTTATTAGAAAATTTCCAACTGTAGCTTGAATTGATATCGAAACAAAATATGCAAGGACTTCGACAATCCTTAGTAAATTATTCAATTGTTTGTATTCTCATAAACCTTTGAACTTAAACTTAACCGAACAAGATGGCTACCATGGACACCAACTCAGTTGTTTCACAAGTGAAAGGCGTACATTGGTAAAATGATGCCTCTATTATACTTCCGTTTTCACTCTATTTCTTACCAGAGTTCAGAGATTGCCGCAACCTTCCTCATGATGAAGCTTTACCCTACTTGCCTTCCTCAAAATCCTCCTTGAATCTTTTGATTAAAAGTTTCTTAGAAATGAACTTGAGGTAAAATCTTCCTTGGTTCTGTCTTTACGCTTTGCCAGGAAAAATGAAATGTTGAAGCAAAACAGTAAATTCCGCTCATATTATAAATTCTTGCCAAGGTATGCATCACTGTATGCATTGGCCTTCCTCAAAACTACTGCATCGTTGGATAACCTTCATCCGGCTAACAGCTGTGTAATAAGGCTGAAGTTTGTCGAGTTAAGATTTCTCTTCAGCCTTATCTTTTTTCAAATTTCTTATTTATTTCTAGCAGTTGTAAACGAAAAGTTGGTCTGACTTCAGATTTCAGATTCTTTAAATTCGAATCAAAGCTGCATATTGACTCTTTAATCTTCCTTAGCCGGGCTTTTAAATCTACTGCTGGGGCAGCTGTTCCATTCGATTCCAGTCTCTTTCAGTTTTCAACACCATCTACCGATTTGGAAAGCTCTCGATCATATTTTCGTTGATTGCGTAACTTCAAGTCTTGCTCAGAGAATGAATGATGCAATGATATACCATACCAGAGTGGTCTAATTCGATTTCTTTGGACCAAAAGCCCTTAGAGCCAAGGCACTTAGAAACTACGTTCCATTAATATAAAATTTTGACGGTGCTTGTTTACATGATTTCCTTTGCAAGCACCGTAAATCCTCGATTAAGCATCCCCTTGAAAAAGTCTTGGGATAAAAGTAGAAATAAGATCCACATCGAATAAGCGCCCCTTCAATAGCCTGCGTGCATTTTGTTAACAGAGTTTGCACGCAGGCTACCCTTCAAGCAAAACACGTGGATGTCGAAATGTGGAGTGTATAGTGTTCAAATAAAGAACAAATAAAAGTACAATTATTTACATCTTTACCCATTTAAAATAATCTTACATGGACAGCTAAAATTAATTTATGCTTTTACAAATGAACGTTTTACCTAACTTTTTCTTTGTTTGTAACATTTTATTGTAGTGTGCAGTAGTTATAAACAGGGCCCTTGTTGATAACAGCACTTCGTGTGTTGAAGAGGTTACCCTGTGTAAACCTTGTTATTATTTCTTATCATAATCACCATGTATTGCTTTCTTAATACCGTTAATGTTCATTGCATTTTCAAAAGAATTTAAGAAAATTAAAAAAATTATCAAATGAAAATGGACTCCCACAACCAAGCGTACCCAGTCAAAAGTTCCAAAACGAAGCTTTAGGGTGCGTAATCGCTGATATACGTTAGTGACAAGCATTTTGATTAAACTCTTTCAGGGAATAAAAGTAAGCACCTATTTTTTTAGACAATAGATGAACCGTTACTGTTAGCCAATGGGGTTCTGGGTCATTTGAGAATGCGTTTTCCGACAATTATCTCGCACAGCAGCAGACCGCAAAAAAATTATTTGTTGTTATGGTAAGAGATCTATTTGTCAGGAATTGCATGAACATTAGAAAAATTGGAAAAACCAGCTTTTTTACCAATCTGTGCAAAATATTGCAATATCGCCTTGTTCGTCTTCGTGTTACTATGAAGCGAAAGTATGAAAAGAAAAATTATAGGCTAATAACAACACTTTCTACAATACATAAGGTTGTAGTGATTTTAATATTGTAAATTAGGCCATATTCCTACATCATGCCATCACCATGACATCCAACTACGTCATTCACAGCGTCACCTAGTACATGACATTCCCTTCACCATTGTACACACGTTCACACATCTATGTCGTGCTGATTTTTTCCCAAGTCTAGATCTTTCCTTCTCCATTGCAACATCATTGCATCATCACAACACATCATTACTCAGCACATTTATTTTGTATATAAGTATGTTAATTTGTATGTAAGTCAGTCAGTCAGTTCAGTTCAGTTAACATCAGAGTTACACGGGCAACACACTGTCTCTCTCACTGGCTCCGTGTTCTCTGCACGTTAAATAAGATTCGTTGAAGCAAACACCAACGATGGAAAGTCACAGGGTATGATAGGAACCATTGCAATTCTTGCCACATAATAGAGTTTCTATAAGGTCTTTGAGCAACTGATAACATCACAAACAAGCAGAATGATTGAAGGAGATTTCAGTTGCTATCTGCAGCCTACAGGAAAGGTAACAGTACAGAAACAACATTAATTTTGCTAATTATGCTAAGCAGCTCTTGACAATAAAGAAATCTTTGGCATACTCTTCACTGAGATGAGCAAGGCATTTGATTTGATGCATCAAACTTGACTCTAGCCTGCTTAGGCTACCTTTACTCCTGAAGAAACTTGAAAGCTATGGTTTCACTGAAAATGCACTAATGCTGAGAAGATCCTACTTTGAGGATAGACATATTCGTGTAAAGATAAGAAACATCAGAAGTGACTGGATAATATCAAAAAGAGGTTGCCCACACGGCTCATCATTTGGTCCATTCCTATTGAATATATTTCAAAATGACATGACGTATAAAATAAGAAACAGTAAAATAAGCAGGTTTGCAGACGATCATCAGCTGTCTGTGTCTTGACAATTCATTCAAAATGTGGAAAAAGAACTGAACAGTGATATAGAAAATACATCGCAGCGGTATCAGGACAACTTCCTAATTGCCAATAAAGATAAATATCAAGCAATGGTTATCAAGGAAAAAAAGCAAATGATAAAAAAATTGGGGTGAAAGTTAATAAAATAGACATTGAACAAGCCAGTTCAATAGAGTTGTTAGGGGTTACCATTGGTGATAAATTGAACTCTATTGATCATATAAAGAATGTATATGTACAAAGGCGAGCCAGAGAGCTGGAGTAATATTTAGAATCCGTAATCTTATACCTGCTGAAACAAAACTGATTCTGTACAAAACTGATATATTGCCACACCTAACCTATTGTGATATTGTCTAGCATTTTTGTAAAGCATCAGATATGCGCAAGCTTGAAAGAGTTCAAGAGAGAACACTGAGAGCAGTTTTTTGTGACAAAAGCAGCTCATATTAAGACATGCAAAGCTACAAACGCTTAATAATCGAAGATTACAAAATATTGTAATTGTAGTTTGTAATTTTAGTAATTGTAATTGTAATTGTAGTTTAAGTTGAATTGAAAATGAAATGTTTGCATTATTATTATTATAAAAAGAACAATTTTTTTATTATATGATGCATGGACAGAATTATTCAGCCTAAAACGAAATAACTGCTTCATTGCTGTTTCCTTTGCAATATCTACAAAAGGGGCGTTTTAAGCACTCAAGATTGTGTGGCCTCTAATACATTTCTGAGCAAGCTCCCTGACAACCCAGCATAATTTAGGCTGACCCCACCCTTGACCAAAATCATGTAAGTAATCAGAGTAAAAATGTCCTTGGAATACCCTGGTTTCTAATGTGAGGGGGATAAAATAAAGACAGTAGGCCCTTTTTCCAATAGACATTGCCTACTTCACAGAAAAAAATGCCTATGATAAGTAACTTTTTGTTACGCCTAAGCAGCTTCAAAATCATACAATTACATGACAAAAATACATTGCAAAAATAAATCCCCTCCCCCAACATTTTCTCGTCGAATTTAAGACGAAGTGTAAAATCAATCCTGCCAAAAACTTCTTGGGGGCTGTCCACCAGTCCCTTCATGATGCTGCCATTAAGTGGTGGGTAATTCCTTAAATTTGTTTTGATCTTTAGAATTTAATATTTAGGCCTTAGGCACAGGAGAAAAAAAGCTATTCAAACATACTCAAGCCAGTGACTTGAAACATTCACTGTATGTACGTGCTGAATAACTCTAAAAGCTCAATTTTTGCCACTGATTCTGGTTTTAAGCACATGTCGCAATACAAAATCAACTCCAAACACAATGATGCACAATGTTAACGTGATACAGTGTATTTTTACCTAGGATACATTTCAAAGGAGGAAAAAATCTCAAAAATGAATCACGTGAGCATATTATATTGGCTGATGGGTCAATTAATCTCAGTTAATAAGCTGTACTAATACATTGGCTTGATTAACGTCATAAAACCCTTCTAACTCATCGATAAATAAATACATTTTAAAGAGCAAAACACAGCGCTCAAACAATTACAAAAGCATAAATTATAAACTAGTTTACACGAATATGAAAATACTGGAGAAGGGTAACACGTCAAGAAGAGAAATACGAAAAGAAATAATTACAACTTTAAATAATTACTGGCCATTTTATCGCTATGTCTGTCAACAAAAAGAATTCCGTTTTTGAATTTATCCTAGCAAAATTGCACTGTAGACTAATGTACAGAAACTGAATATTGCATAGGATATCCCCAGGGGCGTAGCGTGCGAGAGGAGGAGGGGGGCTGGGGGAGGGGAGTTGGTGAGAGGGGGCTGGGGGGTGTTCACCCCCAACTTTCAGAGAACTCGTCGGTAGAATTAAATTTTTCACAAAATATTAATGTAACAAAAGAATTTCTGTCGGTAAAATATGTTTTTGCATCCCTTTTAACCCTCCAACCGAGAATGGTCACGCGACGCCACTGGATATCCCTAAGTTTCAGAAAATGTAGCAAATCTTGTGCTTATCAAAACAAATCTTTTCCTGGTTACCAGCAACGATTTACTAGCCTGAGTTCCAGACCCCAAACTAGAAGTACAAACGATTTACAAGCTCAAATTATCAGCAATTTATACTACGAATAATTTCATGACAGGCTTAACACAAAATCTTCTACAATTAACTTTTCCTGTTATGTTTGTTTCACCAGCTCGAAGTGTTTATGAAGAATTTGAAAAGTTTGCAAAGAATGGTAATAGAATGGTATCAATCTAATGATTCCTTCGATTGCATGTAATTGCAAAAATGTAATTGCAAAGTACGTTTCCTTGAATCTCGCAACACTGTTGACGATGCCTTACGTGGGAAAGGTTTAATTGCGTTCAATATCAAGTCGATTTCACTTAAAAATTCAAGGTTGGTGCTGCGAGCTTCTTTGTTCCTTGATGCACTCAAGACAATTAAATGTACGTGCTAAGCACAATTTAGATGCATTCCAGCTGCGCCCTTTACTATCCGCTGTTTTATTGCATTAAAGGCGCTAAGATGCATTCTCCACGCAGCAAATACCTGCACGCACATCGTTGCATTTGATGTTTTTGATTCCCCTTTGTAATACTTCGGGTTGACATTGAAAGAGCTTCTAATGTTTTATTTTGAGCTCGTTCTTGAGGAGATGCCATGATCTGTTCAAAGCGATTCCATCAGGGTAAACATTAGCATGAATGTCTTTTTTGGGATGTCATTTGTTATCACACAGTTCATTTCTGGACGCAGAAACGCTTTCTGTCTGGTGTTTTAATAGTTTTTTAGAAACATAAAACACCAATATAGTCAGGTTATATCTTTAAGCATATAGTGCAGATAGCCAGTTGCGGAAATTGCGGGGGTATGGGGGGAGCCCCCACTTGAAAAATGAATTTCTGCCACCGCAGATAGCAAACCAAACAAGGGAACTTATCCCACAAACAGTCGGTTTCCTTTTTCTGTAACTTATGCGAAATTTCTCTTTAAGGTTTGATAATGTGTAATTCATTGTCAATCCAAAAACCTCAGCTTCTATTCGATGTTTTCGCGCGCAGCTATTTGGGAACAAAACGCACACTCGCAACAAATTCTCAAAATGAGACTGGCGTTCACCAGGCAACGGCTTCCGTGCACACATTTTAAGACACTATTGTGTCAAGGGAACTTGAATATCTGTCAAAGAGTCAGGCAACGTTTTGAAATCACGCAGAAACTTTGCATGATTGCGTGATATTACACGTCAAAATGTTTATTCCTTGCCCTAAAACATGCACTAAAACTGAGGATCAAATCGGCTATGTTTGATATCTTAAATAATTGTAAAATACTGTCAAAATGGGCAATATTGCACATCTGATTTTAGAGAAAACAATTTCTAAATGTCTTGCATTTTACTTAAACTTTAAAAAATATAGCGGCTTGTTTATTACACAGAAAACAAATACATCTCTCTTTAATCAATAAACCATGCCAAGGGGCAAGGTGGGATTTAATTCTTGGGAGGGGGGCTAAAGACAGATTTTTACTAAGTATTCTGACAAAGCAGCAAAACTTTCAAACTTTTCCAACAAGTCTGGTGGCTATAGTTTCTGTGTTCCCCTCACCTATTGCGCCCCTGTCCACACCTCGTTTTATGAGCATTGAAATTTTTTTTACAAATCAGTGAGAGCATAGTGACATGAATACAAAATGCGATTCAGTACCTCCTTGTGTGAAACCCCAATTAAATGTTCATAAATTGTAAATTTAAAAAACTTTCATGTCAGTATCCCCATTGCTGTTATTGTTATTGTCATTTCTGCTTGCGTTCCTTTGTTCCGCAAAACGTGCCAGCAACTCACGGAGCTCATCAAGATCATAGTTGTACGGGCCTTCGCCGCCTTCGTACGCAACAACCCCATCCAGAAGCACGTATAACCTTTCAGGCAGCGCACCGTAAGCTAGGCCTGCTGTATTCGTAAACAAATCAGCATAAACTTGAGCCTCTGGGATGTTGCTCTGCAAAATATTTGCCACGTCAATCCTATCTTTCATGGTCTTATGTTGTGGTATGGATAAAGGCACATCCTGAAATAAAGACAGGGCAATATGACAAGATATTCCAGCTAAGGTATTTTAAAAAAACATTGCCAAATGCAAATGTTACTTTTCTAGAGGCATACCCAAGAAACCTTTTCAGCTCAGTGGACTACTAATTTAAAGGTTTGCATTTAGGACAGGAGACTTATAGCCAAAGGGACAAATCGGGCTCATCGGTAGATTTTAGTGACACTTGGACTTTCGGCAGAAAAAAGTTTAATGAACCTTTAATTATTGAATGTCTTACAAAAATGACAATTTTCTGGAAATGTTTGCTATGTGCTCTTTAAATATCTGTATCTCTATACAAAATCGAATCAAGCGTTGAAATAGAGTCTCGTGCAAAAATGTTAACCAGAGCACCACGCAACCCTTAGTGTACCAACAAGACAGTTCGAATCGATTCAAACTATAGATTCTGATTTTTACGGCTTTAAACATTTAAGCTTTTAGCAGCTTGAAGCCAGATGTTCTCGCAAATTTCACATGTAAATACAATTATGAGATTCTTAATTACTAAAAGATGACAGATCTACACTACAGCTCATGAAAAGAAATTCATGTTCGCAAAAATATTATAATCTAAAATATGAGAAGATCGGGAGGAAATAAGATAAAATTTGGAGATCGTAAGGAAGGCACAATCCAGGGAGATTGCCTGGTAGCGGGACAGGGCTGAATCTCTGAGAGAGTTGATATAATTTCACTTCCATTAAAATTTGCTTTGATGATAATTTCACTTCTATTAAAATTTACATTTCCCAGTTTTACTTTACTTTTTTGCTGAGGCTCAGAAATTTTAAAAAGGCTGGACAGATGCCCTCTTTACCAAGATTCTTGATTGAATTACACCAAACCGATAGGCTTTGATGGAAAAAATCGGCCCTTTTTAAACTTTTTAAAGAAATGATAAAGATCCATCTATTTATCTTAAAAAAACAACTTTTAAAGCTGCAATGAAAGCAAAGGCAAATATAGTTGAACAAACTATAATGATAAAACATAATTTGGAATGAAATCATGGTATCTTTCAGAACCATGGTGCTGCTACCGGATATTCCAGGTTTAAAACTTTGCGCCAGCCTTGTTTTATATTTTACAATTGAAACTCAACATTTTCCATGCTTTATTAGAGCGCTTGATAGCTTAAAAGGTATATAAAGAAAAGGATCAAAAGCTTGTCAGGTAACTTAAAATACGGTTTACTTAGCGCCTTTGGCCTACCCAGATCAATCCATTTTTATGGTTTCTGTTCTGTGCTTATATAAATGGGAAACTTTCCAAAAACTGTTTGCTTTCTTCCTTGATTACATTTTCGCGTGCGAATGGCTGGCGTTAAATGAATACATAAGATGAAAATTGAGCCAAATTTCAGTCATTTCTGATTGGTAAAATGCTTTTAAAAGATATTTGCGTCACAAGCGAAATATCGAGCTATTTCAACAACTGCAAATTTTTCAATTTTAGTTTTGGATGAAAGTCACATTAGCAAATGATCACCGCCTAGCTTTGTGTCTGCAGCCTAAATTTCTGTAGAAAATATCTAAAAGATTATATGGCCACATTTGGGCATTAACCCACATAGATGTTTCAGCCAACTTTGAAAGTATTTCATCATCGCTATGAAAATAGCTTCGACCCCTCATTCTGGATGACTGCCACACCCAAAAGTTCCAGTCGCTTTACGCGTAGCTGTCAAGATTTATTTCTATATATTTTCGTACAAAAATTAAATGTTTATTAAACATCTACAGGAGCATCTGTTTATTAAAGGAGAGTGATTATTAGGAACATTCTTTGAAGCAAATGATATTCCAGCTAAGCATAATTTAAACATATGTTTTAATCCCAAAATGGTCAAAGAATTCCATGGTTTTGCGCAGAGAAATTTTTTCTAGTAAACCTTTGGATTAATTGAGTAACAAACTGGCATTTGTGTCTACCTTCTGGTACTTTTTTTTGGATAAGACCAAATGGACTCTATATGCTGTACCAAGATAATCTCTACCGTACACGATATAAAATTTAGAACGTAAATACGATCAGGTGGTACTAATAATCTCGTTGAGAACATACCAATAGCAACGAAATTTCGAAGATTAACTTGCCAAGCATATGTTTGCATTTTGAATGTGAATATGTCTCAGTAAAAGTAGCAACGAAATGAAATATTTGCTATTTGGAAATAAAAGCTTTACCGAAAACTTGAAGCCGTTTTCACAAACTGGATTATTCATAGCGGTGGGACGAGTTCATAAAAGATAAAGTAAATGGATAAAACCTATGATATCATGAACAGCTTGATACGTGATCGAAGCACGAAGCATAGAAATCTTTATAAAACATAGATTTACTCTTAAATACGGTACATGTATGGGATATCTTTACTGCACAGCCACATCATTATAGGCATATGATCGAACTGTGGTAAAACAACTGTGGTAAAACTTCTGTGGTAAAACTTCTGTGGTAAAACAAATACCTTAAAGAACCAGCCATCCGCTGGGTGTGCTTCCTCTATGTATATGACAGCAAAATCTGCAATTCCACCAAAGTCTCTGACCATGCGACGGAATATATGCAGTTTTGCCATGAACGGAGGTCAGGAACAACTGCCAAAATTCAGCACAAGTGGAACGCCAGGGCGCATCAGGCTGCTTAGTGAAACAGTTGACTTCGTAGGCACAAAAGTTTGACTGTTTCTTTCTGCTTTCAATTCGGTTTCTATCTCTGGAATACCTTCTTCATAATTGCTGTTTTGGTCGATTTTGAATAGCTCTGCATCGGGTGCTGGTAGCTGTAATGAAGCTATTTTGAAAATTTGCTGCTTCGTGGCATACAGAACTTCTTTGAACATTGCCCAGTTTAGAATGCAGCCATCTATTTGATCTCCTTTCAGATAAGTGAGATTCACAAACCATTTTATTATTTTTATTTTAAAAAATGGAATGAAATACAAAAGCCTGACAACAAGAAAAAACACTGCTAAAAACACAGCATAGAGCGTGTATTTCACAAACTTAGCCACAGCCATGTCCTATGTGCTCCAAACTGTGTTCTTTGTCCGCTGTCCTATGCACTCTCATTGGAAAATGATAGTTTCACCTTTCACCCTTGCCCTTTTATACCCGCTGATCCTTTCGTGATCTTTTCAAATTTGCTCATCAATAGAAGCGCAGCTACATACGGGCAAGGGTCACCGATCTATTAGATAGGTTCTTTCAAAGCACTCAGTGTTAGTCAGCAATTTTTTTTCTTCTAGGCAATTAAACAAAGTCAACATTCATTATTGGCTGCCGATTATTGCTGTAGAACAGTTTCTGGACATCTGTTGCTGCTGTTTTCGTGAGCGGGCTTGGAGCACTGATCGGTGGCTGAGATGAGAACAGATTTTCGTAACCAAGGCCACGAGACTAAAGGGTATTCGCGTACAGTAAAATTGGGACCAAATTTGGCCCACAAGCAAAATTTTTTTAGCCTGCAACTATTTTGAATTTTAGATACCAACTGATATTTGATTTGACCGACTTGAGAAAATGACAAAAAAAACAAAAGTCATTAGTGTGCTAATCTGCTCACATCTACTCACATACTATTTGATCGTCAATATGGGCCAAGTATTCAATTAAATTACATCAATTTGATATTTTTGCTTTCAAGTCTCTGCTTCAATGTGTCATTTATATAATGTCCAAATTGCACATCTTATAAATGACACATTGAAGCAGAGACTTGAGAAGTGTGGGGCGTCAGGGGGCTGCGACCGCATCAAATTTTCCAACCACAGGCTAATTATTTATAAAGCTAAGTATAGATTTTAAAGCAAAATATGTTTTGCTCTTCTCTAGCATCACCCCCCTCTCCCTTCAGAATATGAATTTCTTTCTGACTACACTGCAGAATTATGACAGTATTTAGATATTTCTGCCACCTAATTCTATAGCGCACAGGCCTTGTCCACATACAGTACAATACATATAAAACGCAGGTTGAAGGTTCCTCAAAGCACTTGGTTTTTTCTTTAAATTGACTGATTTTACTTTATTTGACTTTATCTATTTAAAGAGGAATACTCTTAGTCTTGAGCACGTGTTGATTTTCCGGCCGCCTTCCACTTAGTATAGGACACAATGATGCATAAATGTAGTATAAGGAAAGGCAAAAGTTACAATAACTTAAGATATAACATAAAGCCACTCTAATTGATCTAATGCTATATCATCATGAAGTTCAAAATCTTAGTCCAAAGTCTAGTTAATCTGATAAAACATGATCTAAAGGATAAATTTGCTCTAAAGAATAAAGAATCTAAAATGAAATATCCACATTAAGTACAAAACTTTTCAGCGGATAAAATTTGGACATAATTTTGGCATTTCGAACAAATATATTGTCGGACAAATTTTGACCAGCCTTTTGGATTATTGAAGCAAGCCACTTCAGATTATTGATGCAAACAAACTCTTAAGACTGTTATTGAACTCTTGAGAGACTTGCAAAGAGTCTCTGATTACTGACGCTAAGTACTGTGTATGTTAGTACCGAACTGACTCAACTTCTTAGTTTCTTACGAAAAGAATACCTGTATTGAAACTGATCACCTTTTTTAGGCCCAGGAACGAAGTTCACTTTCAAGATCACAGTTCTCAAATATATAGAAGAGAAAAGGAATAATCAAATTTTGCTGTTAACTATCACGTTTTTTAACATTTGTTTAAAGGTATATGTTTTTCCGGCCATTTTAAAGGGTGACTCTTTGATAGACGACGAGAACGATGAGCACTATTTGCTTGGACTGATATATCTATAAACATCAAAGAACAACTGTTTTCAAAAGTTTTGCACACATACTCCAGTAACATTTCTTTTTGTTTAATTTTGTAATGGAAATGCAGATTCAGAGATCATTTGATTTCCATCACTTGAATCAATTTACATTACGCAAGCGCAATTTATGACGTGAGAAACTTGCGGACAACTCTAAATTTCGTACGAATAAATTATCGGACAAATTTTTGTGCGAAAGTTTTTCACGCCGAATTTTTTTTCACTTAATGTAAGCTAAATAAGATCTAGGCTAAATAAGACACTTTCAGGAGTGAATCTAGAGCAACAGTATTGGAAGTGGGGCTCAAATGGCATTATAGAGAGTCTCCCCAGCTTTAGTAAGAAGAAATTTATCATCATATTTAAAGAAGTCAAATGCACCGCTTAATTATGCTCCCCCATGTGAGATTTAAGTCTCTTTGGACGCCCGAGCCCTTGGTACTACTTGTTTGTAACTTCAACACTTCATACGAATGGAAGGATAGTTAGACATGCCTCTTGCTTGGTAGCCTGCGTACAGACTTTGGTGGTAATTAACATGGAGAGGGGTTCAAGTTTTATTTACTTTGAGTGCTTGTTTGCCTTTAGTCACCTATCAAATTTACGTATTTTTTATTGATAGCCGCGTCTAACTGTGTAACACCTTTCAAAAATGGTATAGCCTTGTATTATCAACATGCACAGACACTTTCGAGTTGTTAATAACGCGGGGAAGGTCATTTAAAAAACTAAAATAGGAGCGGACCGAGATCAGAGCCCTGAGGGGCTCCCAATTATACTCTTCCAAGATTAGAGTATACTAACTCGAAGAAGCAACTTTCATTTGTCAAGATAGTATTTGAACCCCGACAGTTCCCTATTGAGTACATGGCATTGCTTGTGTTTTTGGCAAAAGATTTTATTGTAAATCTTTTTTAGATCAATACAGATTATGTCGGTCGAACGTTAGCAATGTTGACGGTATAAATCCCGTTCACACTTTTGGTGCGCAAAACAAAAGTTGGTTGTAGCAACACTAACAGCATTAGACTTATCAAGCCCTTTCCCGCCCCAAAATTAATTTTGATTGATTGACCAAATTATTTTTCGAGTGATATGCCAATTTTGATATGTTTTAAAGGGTGTTCAGCCCCTTGATAGCTTGCTCTTAGAGTGTTCTTGGGGTGTTCTTTGGGTGTTCATCTTGTTCTTGGAGTGTTCAGTCTTTTAGAAACGTTGGCTTCCTTCTATATCAAGCCCCCATCCAAAGCTTTACATTTTAAAGGACTTGAAAAGCATGTAAGATAATAAATTTTCCTTCATACTTCTAAAAAATTAAAACATAATATAATTTTACAGCTAATTCCATTTTTATGGTTGCTAAAAATTACTTTTAACTGTGTTGAATTGCACATTTGAGATTCAGATGAGACCCCAAGGCTTAATGGAGAAGGCTGTTACGTTATCTCAAAATCTATTTTTCTATCTTTTTTGTCTCGTCAATAAATAGACTTTCTGTCTATTTTGCATTCACAGATTGCATTCAAACTGCTGATGAAATGTTGACATAAATTCAGATGTTTTTATTGTTCTCTACCAAGCTACTTGTACACTGACCAGGGTGCATTCCGAGGCCCTCCCGCCGGAGAAATCCATCGGAGAGCGATTTCCCTTTTTTTTCACGCCAAAATTTTAGGCGGAGATTTTTTTGGTTTTATGTTATGGCGGTCGGAACTGGCATTCTGCATTTTGATCATGAATGTAATAAACTGGCACTGTGTGAATGGTAATGGCAGCTAGCAGCCAGCAGCCAGCAGCCAGTTCTTTTCTACCTTAACAAATCGTTGTTAATAAACCCTTAAATTATGCTTGCAAAATATTTAATGCAACCAAATATCATTAAGAATAAGACAACTAAATCAAACAACAGGCACTAAAATTTCGTCTTTTTATTACATTTTTTTCAGCTTTATGCCATTTTGGTTAATATCTAGTTAAATCGTTTCTTTCTACTCTGTTTTGTAACCATATGGGTATGTTTAGTTGAATGTGTTGTGCTTGACAGCCAGAAAACAAAGTTTACTTTACGCTTCACTCTTCAAATAATTTTAGATCAAACAAACACAAAAGAGCAGTAAAACCCAACTAAATAGATAGAAATTACTAAATATTTTGTAAAGTAGATCTAAATCCTTGCTGAAAATATCCGACCAATACCATTAATCACCAAGTGACATCAGGATTTGCAAGCATCCAAGATGCAAGTAGAACCCTTATTCGTAAGTAGCCTGCGTGCAGACTTTACTTTCCGTTGCGAAGGAGAACCTGGCTCTCCTTCGCAACGGAAAGTAAAGTTTGCACGCAGGCTAATTCGTAAGATGCAAGACGTAGAATCCTATAGTTTTGATGGCTATTTTTCGTCTGTACTTTACTTCCTATCGGCAAGGGGCATAACCACAGAATAGAAAATAGGCAGAAAAATAACTCTCTACGGTTCCTTTGCTGTTTTTGAAGCCTGAATCAACTATAGAATTCCTTAATTCCCCTTTAACCTCGATTTCATTAGACGAACTTAGCCATGATAAATAATCATTAATTCATCAGCTATAAATGAATTATGATACATAACTGAATTTGTTTACTATCATAGGGCATTTCGTCTCAAATAAAGTTGTCTACTTTCATCATTTTTTAAAACTCCCTGACAAATACATACAAAGCCTCGTAAAAGTTAACGCATGCGCAAGTTTTTTCAGGCTTCATCTGATAGGCAGGAGTTCCCCTTCTGTCTAATTCCTATTCTGTGGAATAACACTCCATCAAGTCTCGTACAGCTTGACGATGATCCTATCGTTTATCTGAAAATCCCTGGAAATCCTTTTGTTTCCAAATATCTCGCTACGGTTTTCGCAAGGGTGAATCGCCCATTTGCTATCGGTAGTTCGAAATAGTGTACTAGCCAGTCATAGCAACAGAAGGCCTAATTTCTTATCTCCCGTTTATAATTTGTCGGTCTGATACAAGCAAGAACGGGGATACCTGGCTAATGCACTTCCGAAGGTGGCATTATTTGCTTTAATGCACGCGTAATGAGATCGCGTAATACCGATGGTAAGAATAGATGCATTTAAAGATAACGTTAATGAAATTTACATCCTTTAATTACCCCGTTTCATAAAGCTGATCAGAAAAGCCACCAGGCACTTTGGAAAATAATTACCTGAAAATTGTGGCATATCAGAGCTGGCACCGCGCAGCCATTGGGCTAGCAGAGGCTATAGCCCCTCCACTTTTTTGCGATAATACGTTAGAAAACGTTTTTGAAAGTTTACTCTAACTATGGTCTAACGCAGCATTGAATAGTATACTTCTAAGAAGAAGCAGTTTTTCTTGACTGGGAACCCTTTTTGATCATTTTCTAGGTGTTTTCTTGAGGTTTTATCATCCCCAAGCTAATTTTATCTATTTTTATAACTATTGATATCTTCCCTGAACCAGATTGTTTATAAAACCCCAGTAGAAATAAGCCAGCATTTTCTAAAAGGGACGTTTTCCGGTGTTCTAGTGGGCGTGGCCTCAAAAATTTTCGGTAACACCCTTTTCAGCCCTCCCACATTTAGACTGGTGCGTGGTCCCTGTATCAGAGAAACTGGCTATTTAGCTGACGTTGCGAACACACTATTTATCTCTCTGTTTACTGTTTAAACAAATAAACAACTTTTATAAACATCGAATTTAGGCAAATTAGCGTCATTATCAGTTTTGATTTTTTA